GTCCCATGCCACTCTTCTGACCCATGGAGTCAAAAGTTGGAGCACTACCGATCTAGCTTCCAAACTGTCCTTGTGAATGGTCCACAGGGCTCAGGTGGCAAACGGTATTTTTTTAGTTGGGTGTGTTGTCTTTTTAAAATGTACAAGCACTTATGTGCAAGCTTGGAAGGAATCTGCTGCAGCCATGCCATCATTCATAAGCGGACTTTGGCACAGGGAAAATGATGACTGCTTTGTTTATTTGGATTTCCAGGTTGAATTTGAGGTGCTTGGTTTGATTTATAAAGCCCTAAATGAGAGTTGACTGCCTGAAAGACCTCAGCAGCTGAGATCAGTGGATTCACATAAAATGACAATCTGCTACTTTAAAAGGAAGCTACTGCTAAAGCTTTTTTCTGAGAAAAATCTTGCCTTTGGAGCTCACATTCCCCTTTGACCAAAACAGCTTGGATTTGTAAAGCTTCTGAGTTTGCTGCAAGGTTCATCTATTATAATTGGTTTGTTTGGGCAAAATAGAGTGAGGTTTTATTGTTTATGGCCTGGTTTTTTACTATTATGGGATTACCATGTTATGTAATGTGTTTACTATTTCAGAACAAAGGCCATGCTATAAAAGGACTTGGTTACTAAAGTTCTTTTTTATATTAAGGGCATTTGTCTTTTTGTTCTGGTTTTCAAATTTGTACAAAACTTAAAGATTTAGAAGGTAATTTAAACAATGCTGTAGTACCTCTCTTTGGTGTTTATATTTTTTAAATTTGTCATTCCAAATGTAATTATTAAAAAAATAATAATTCTACTGAGAAGCAGAGGTTAAGTGCACATACAACACTGCATTATATGGTTATACTGCTTCCAGGTTAAGCACACAGTGGGCACATCTCACGAGATGTTTACTGCGGAGATGCTTAATTAGCTCCACAGCAAATGCCTCAGTATCTACATGAGCAGTGTTATTAGGATCAGAGTAACTTACTGTACAGTTAATTAAGTTACTCTGATCCTAATAACACTGCTCATGTAGTTGGCAGGGGTCCCAGGAGGGTCAGCCTGCCAACCCAGAGCTGCTCCAACCCAGCTCAACGTTTTGTGGTCCCAGGAACACCCAGGAGCAATAAACTCCGATGCAATATGCACCAGAGTTTATTGCTGCACATTAATTGCACATGCAGATGGACCCAGTGTGCCTCAATACTACTGCCTTGCACTGCTCAGATGATACCTTTTGTCTTCTTTTTGAGAGAACTAACGGTGCTGCAGTTTCTACTTGGAAATTCTCAAAGTAGATTTCTGGGTGTATTTTTCTCTTCTAATGACACTGATACCAGAGGAGGTTAGGAAACATTGTGCTAGACCCTATGTTGCTTCAGTTCCTTAAAAATATTTCCATTATAGATACACACAATGTAGCAATGTATGGTTCTACCCATATCTTTATACAGGCAGCTTCCGCTTAACGCGGTTTTGATTAGCACTATTTCACTATAGCGCTCATTTAAAATTGATACCTGGTTTCACTGAGCACTCAGCGAGTTTCACTATAGTGCTCAGTGGAATCAGCGAGTTTTGGCAGGATGGCGGGGAGAAGCACTGGTGGGAGTGGCAGCAGCAAGTACGGGGAGTGGCAGCAAGTGAGGGGCGAGCATGAGCATGGGGTGGGGTGGGGTGGGACTTTGGACAGTGGGCTAATGGGGAGTGGCAGCAGCGAGAAGTGGCGGGAAGAAAGGCGGTAACCAATTACCTATATTTACATTCATTTCTATGGGGAAATAAGTTTCACTTAGCACGGTTTTGCTTAGCGCTTGGTTTTTCTGGAACCAATTAAGAGCACTAAGCGAGGGTTGCCTGTAGAGCATAATGGGATTGTGCAGGTTTCTGCTTCTGCCTTCTTGCAGTAGGGCATACTTAATTCCATAGTAGAGCAAGTTTCTGAGCACTCATCATCGCAACTTCCCCAGTTTAGGACTCACCCAGCGTGGAATGGACACGGACTATTCAGAGGAATGGAAAAATTGCTTACCTTTGACAACAGCTTATTTATATGTGTACTGTGCATTGTGCACATGGAGTTTGCACACCATACCCTATAATGTCTTTCTGTCTTTCACTATGTAGATATACCCATTTATGTGGTATATAACAGTGCTGCTCAACCTTTTGGCTCCACAGGGCGGATGAGTAGCCTGGAGCCAGTTAGCTGGCTAAACGGAGCCCCACATGTCTGGATCAAGTCCTATGGCCCAGCACCACCTTCTCCTGCCTTGCACACCAGGATTGGGCCCCAGAGACTTGGACACTGCACCATCCCACCAGGGTTGGGATCCAGGAGCCCTGGCACTGCCCTCTCCTGTCCCCATACACCAGGACTGGGCCTCATGGGCCTGGTGCTGCAGCCTGGGATTGGGTCCAGCTCAGAGAGCTCAAGGCTCCCCATGGATCTAGAAATTTGGCAGCAGGGTAGCAGTGCCATCTCCATGGAGAGAGACAGGCTGGATGACACAGCACCACAGGCCAGATCTGGCCTGCAAGCTAGAGGTTGAACACTCCTGGTCCATAACTATCTAGGATAATGGCATTCAACCTTTTGGCCTCCATGGGCCAGATGAGTGGAGCAGGCTAATCCACAAGATCAGCCCTTGCATCACCCTCCATGCCAGGATCAGGCACCAGATCCCCACACCACCTCCATGTGCTAAAATAAGGCCCTGGGACCCTGTTCTGCTGCAGCCTAGCCCTGTATGCTGGGATTGGGTTCTAGGACCCCACCTCATCCTCATTTGCTGGGATGAGGTTCTGCACTACCCTGCACACCCAATCTGGCATGGGTTATACTCTACCAGGATTCCCCCATACCCATGGGGAGCCCCACAGGCCAGAATACATGGTACCAGGGGCTGGGGCTAGCTCATGGTCTGAGGGTTAAGCACTCCTGATTTAGAAGAGTCTGAAGGGCCGTATCCTCTGTCCCTTGGTAAGTCCCTTGCAATGTTTTGGGAATGGACCATCACAACTACAACACTCCAACTCTGCTAGTTGGCTTAAGAAACTGGCTTTGAAATTGCAAGTGATGAGATACCTTGTTCAAGCAAGTCTTCTTTTCCTTGTTAGACAACTGCTATTATTGAGAAAAATGCATATGCTGCTCCCTTCAGTAGAACAGTATTGCTTATCTAAGCCTCTGGAGGGGATACTGTGATGATGTTTCATACTCAAGTCCCAAGGATCTCAATAAAACAAGGAAACATAAGAGAACCAGTTTGCGGGTTACTACACTGCAGCCACGTCTACATAAGACGCTAACTGCACAGTTGTTACTGTGCAGTCATTTAGTACTTGCATACCCAGTGATACTACTGTGTAGTAGTAACAAACTACTGCAAAGTCAGTGTCTCGTGTAGATGCAGCCAGTACTATGTTTAGAATGCAACACCCAAAATTTCTCTGGACTAAAATGAGGAGAATGTGACCCAAGAAAATAAACAAAAGATACATTTGGCTAATCAATGAAGTTGCCATTTGGCTAGTCAAGTATTTGGATACACTGATAATGTGGATGAAGAATGACATCTTGGAGACACAGATAACAAGGGTACATTTATTTCCCTTTGTGTTAGTAGAGAGTACCAGAGATTAATACAGTAAGAGGACCCAGGTTCATATCTTAGCACTCCTGGCAGAACTGATGAGAGCAAAGGAAAAATTGGCTGACTAGCTAAATCATCTAGTCCCAGAAAATGAGCTGGTCCGCCAAGGTTAAGGGTAGTTGGAACCCTACCATTACCTAGTACCCAGGAAGAAGCACATACTACTGCATTATAAGGGTGCTTAGTCATTTATTATCTTCCCAATATAATTTTGTATGCCAAAGTGGTTCTTGTGTCCTCATCTGTGAGAAGGCATAATAATGCCCCAATTCTGAGAGATGAAGTAACCCTTCCTCAAGATGTGAATAAACCCTGGAGAGCATTCAACTTTTATTCCCTAGGTAATGCAGTCTTATTTCTTGTTGACTAGCTTAAACTGTATATAGTATTGTCCTGCAGGGTCTTAATTTTGTTTGCATTTTTCTCATGCATCAGCTTTATCATTGTTTCTGACAGAGCAATACAGGTGGCAAATTCAATTTTGCATTGTTTTTAATCTCTGCCTTCCGACAAGCAATGCACTTGATCAACTACACCAACTACTCTATGTGGTCTGCAATCTTGGATTTAGGGATGAGAAACACAGGTGGGTTTTCCAGCAAAATAAAATTTTCCCCAATGTTAAACCCCTCTTTTCCTGTGAGAGGTGTATTACTTTGGTTGGGGTGAGGCTTCAGAAGGGCAAGATGGAGTAAGTCAGGCTGCATGCCCCAAAGGCTTCTCTTACTTTAGACATCTCTGCATCATTTAGTCTCTCATCCTCTAAATATATTCTCTCAGAATTTGAACTTGCCCTCCTCCTCTTATGTGCACAAATCTTACAAGCTGCCATTTCATCAAAAATTGTTGGTATGAAAAGGAGCAGAACCAAGTCCCCTCATTTCAGATAAAGGTTGTAACATATCCAATCTAAGCAACAAAGAGAAAACAACAAAATGGCACCAAATAAAAATGGCTACTCTTTCCAAAATAGAGAGCTTAATTGCTCTCTTCATTTTGTGCTAGACTTGCAATTTCTCATGCATCTAAAAGCAACTTTCCGGTGCACTATTAAAATATCTAGCATTCTCGTTTTGCGGTTTTAATATCACTTCTGAACTAACCGCAAAGTTATCAAGCATCACTGAGCTTGAATAAAGACACTTGTTTTGAATCAAGACAAAAGTTGAAAGATAAGTAGGATGCTATAAAATCTGTTCTAGATTTTGTCTGTAAATACTGCGACCAAGCAATAGCAAGACTATACAGTATTGTAAAAATTCAGTATGTTTATATGTAGTGAATTAAACTTTAACTGCCTAATAAAATGCTGGATACCACTAAATGTAAATGCATTGGAAAAAATAGTCTATCATCTTTTTTCATTTTGTAACAAATTTGTTACTCAGTTTTATTATTCATGTTGATGTATATATAACTAGATATGATACTTGTCCAGCGTATAGATGTACAAGAGACCGGTGGTTAGAATGATGCATCTGTGCATTTAAGATACATTAAGCCTATCACTGATAAACAGGTTTTAGTGTCTCAATTATACTTTCCCTAGGAAAAGTAAAAGATGTTCAAATAAATCCTATGTATTGAAATGGCTGGTATTTCATCCAGATCTTTTTCAGAGTTTCCTCAGTAGTTTTGACGACAGAAGCCGCGCATTGTTTTCCACAAGTATGAACAAACTTCATTGTCCTTCTCCTTATCAAGCACTTTTTTTCTTGACTTTCTCTTCAGCCTCAAGCTCTTTTGCTCTACATCTCGAGTTTAATGCAAATAACATTTCTGGAGTTGTCAGGTTGGCTCCTTTCATTATCAATCTCTCTCCGTCACCTGAAAAGAAAACACTATTTACGTGTTTTAAAAGTGACAAGGAAATGTATAATAAACAACTAAGGTGACATGCAGGTCTATTTAGGCAAAGCAAAATATATATAAGTTTAAGTTCAGCAATTCTCAACCAAGATTGTAATGGTACCCAGGAGTGCTCTGGGATGCACTTAAGGTATGCAAACATTTACACATGATTCATAATATAAACCAAGAGATTTCAAATTAGAATGTAGTGTCAAAAGTATTCTGATGTGTGGTGTTCTGAATTCTGAACAAGAAAAATTGGTCTATTACTTTTTTGCAATAAAAAAAAAAGTGAAAGCTAAAAGCTGGTAATTTCCAATCTAACAAGGTTTGAATCTAAAAAAGGTTGAGAAATGCTTACTTAGTTGATTCAGTTTAAGTTATTCAGCATCTGTGTGCCCATTCACCTGTAATCTGGACACAAGCATACTTTAAGAGCAAGCAATACATTAAGCTGCCCACAGAAAAGCAACTACCATTTCATGCTGTCCAGAAAAAAAGATGCACCACTAAAAGTGATTTGCACCATTTTCTGAAGGTCAGCAAACTTGGCTTCTGAAGGCATGGTTCCTGCACTGACCGTGTTTAACAGTCAGTTATATAAAGTCAATTTCACTGTTTGTCTGAAGAAGCAATGAATGAATCAATTCCCTTTGAATGCATACCTCTTTGATACAGTAACAGAAGAGAATGAGTAGTTTACAAGTTATGAAAATATTATTTCAAAACGTAAAACTGAAAGAGGGAAATAACAGCCCAATGCAGTACCTAAACCAAAATTTTAACTCCTTTTTTGGATGGCGACTAGATTTTGCCTGATTTATAGTTGGAGTATGTGGCGGGCCAGCAGGGGGTGCTCCTGCACTGAGCCACCCACCTCACTGCGCCCGACCACCTTCCAGGCTCCGAGTGCCTCCCTGGGGCCCCTCATGTCTGGCTGACCCCCTTCCTGGAGCACACCCACCAGCCTAGGGGTATAGTTGCCACCACCTAGGGATGGGCTTGATCCTGGCACTGTGCCTCCTGGGAAACACAGGCCTAGTAGCCCTCAAGGATACTTGACTCACTTCAAGAACTTGAGGTGCTTCCCTCAGTCAAAAGCACAAGTAAAGGTCTCCCTTAGTCAGCCGAACCAAGGGGACCTCAAGGCATAATCTAGACCCACTCCCAATAAGTCTCCCACGCTAGGTACAAAGGAGGACTTTATTGGTTACAAGGAGTAGGGTTGGAATAGGGTACAGAGTTGAGTAGTATCAGAGAAATCCCATAGAGCAAATAGGGTGGCTGCAGTAGCCTTTGATCATGCATCTGAGTTACTGCAAGCTATATATCTAGTTAGATCTCAGGTAGGTTACTCACGAGTATCATCCAGAGGCAGGTGGAGATTACCTCTGGAGGCAGGCAGCTCACTGATCATGAATTTCAAGAGAGAGACCAAGTTTCAGATGGTCCAGCTCTTCTCTCTCTCTCCTCCTGGGCAGTCCTTAACTTATATAGCCCTTATGACCTCATTTACCTAATCGAATAGAGGCTGCCAGCCAACCAATTTGAAATGCATCAGTGGTCGCTGGGCAGACTGGCAGAGTCTCTAGCCCCCTCCCAATCAGGTTGACATTGCTTAATAATAAGCTCCTCAACCAGGTATGTTATGCCAGTTACATAGGCCAAAGGAGCAGGTTTCCCCCCCTCACTCAGGAATGTATCCAACTCAGGTTACAACTCAGGGTTACCTAAAGGGCCCATATTAACCAAATTGTCACAGAGCAGAGTTTTTAGGGAGAGACAGAGGTGGCATTTTGCCACAGAATACATCTGTACCAGTGGTCACCAACCAGGGGATCTCCATCCACCAGTAGATCTTGGAGCTTCTTTGGAGTTGATTTGAGGCTGGGGTTGGGGGCTGAGTGCCCGCATGCATCCACGTGCTCACCCCAACCCAACAGGTCAGTCTGTGGGGGAGGGAAGAGGCGGGGGCTAGATCGAGGCCCCCGCAGTGAGGGACAGTGCCACAGAGGCAGGAGCAGGGGTAAATTGAGTGGGGCCCCGGCCAGGTGGAACTTACCTGCTGAGGAGGCACATCTCCAAATAATTTTTTCTCCCTCTGCTTCAATCTGCTCCACCCCTTCCCCACAGACTTACCTGCTTTGGAGGAGGGAGGCAGGGGGCGGCAGCAGCATACAGTAGATCTTGGGTTGCTTTTAAATGTCAAAGGTGATCTCCTAGTTAAAAAGGTTGGAGACCACTGGTCTATACAATTATTGCACCAAGACTGCACTGCACCAGATAGGCCTCATCCACTTTGCCTGCACTATCTTCTGAACCAGTAGTGTAGCTGCCATAATGTAACACAGTGGCTCTTATTACTTATCATCTGAGAGGCAGGGTTAGTAGTGCACAGACAATGTTGCACTGGCCCAACTATAGTACTTCCAGTTTTGAAGGCAGTATGTGATGACTGGGCTAAGCACCCTACTACAGTACTGTATGGTACACCACTAGCACAGTGCAGCACTTCTTGAAGAGCTGTTTTAAGTACCAGAATGTATTAGGATAGGTGAAACTACAGCATTTTGTAAGCCTCTATACATGATAACATTATGCCTGTTGTAAAACCTTACCAAATTTAACACCACAATGTATTATACCATACATATTGTAAGTACAGTAAATCTGTACTTTGTTGTACTGAACAATTAAAGTGAAGAACAGGTAACAAGCACTATTAATGGAAAAGACTTTACAGGCTACAGTCTGTGCTGGACCTGTCTGGAAAAGCAACAGAAGCAGCACAGGCAAAGGCAAATAAAAGCCATCTGTGTACTGTCTAGAATCTGCGCTGCTCTAGAGATCAACACCCCATAAAACAGATGAGCCCAAGAAACTGACTGCATACCACAAATCTTTACGTAATGAAGTAGCTTAGCCCATATGAGTAGTCCCATTTAAACCATTATGACAGCTTGTAAGAGCAAGTTATTTGTGAATAACTATTTGTAGAAGCAGACCTTAACTTCTCAGGAGTGAGTTGTCTATAGCTCTGGTACTACAATAAGAGTCAGGGGGGGGCTGAGGTGCAGTAAGGAAACAGATGTCAGTGACTTCACTGGGGCTCCACACAGGTTCAAGGCAGGCATCTCAAGTCAGCTACTTTCAGAAGCGGTACTCAACCCTCAGCCCGTGAGCCAGATGTGGCCCATGGAGCCATGTCATCCAGCCCAGAGCTCTCCGTGGTCTAAAAGTTAGGCAACAGGGGAGTAGTAGCAGCTAATTGTTGCTACCCTGCCGCTAAATATCCAGATCCTTGGGGATCCATGATTGGGGCAACATGGGGCCCAATCCCAGTGCACAGAGCCAGGAGGTACAGACTGCCCCAAACTATTCATCTGGCCCATGGGGCCAAAAGATCTATTTTGAGCATTCTCTCTCTTCCCAGGTCAAAATGCAACTTAGACAGAAGTGTTTATGCTCTTCCCAGTATACTAACCTGCCTGTGATCCCATCCTGCTTTTGCTCAGCATTATTTTTACACTGCCTCCCACAATGAAATGCCAGTCATGGTATGATCCCAAAGCAAATCATGTTAACAGAATTCCAGAAAACAAACTGGGCTTAGGGAGTGGCGCGAGATGCACAGGTAAAGGCCTGTCATGTCCCCGGACCCCGAAGCCCCTCAGCAGCTGCGAAGCACCCTGCTGACCCCCAGGACAGCCAGAGGTGAGCGGGGCCTGTGGAAGGAAGGGCTATTTTAGATCAGCTGCAGGGAGACAGCTGAGAGGAGCCAAGGAGGGTCTCCCCCTGCCCCCCGGCTTTTACTTCGCCCAACCCTGCAGGGAGCCATGTGACCGGGCCGCACAAACAGGTGCACTTGTCTGCCTGGTGTGCAAGTTAGTGCTGGAGTTTGCGCAGGACGGTGAACAGGACAGCCCGAGGTCCTGCCAGTGAGACCCAGGGAAGGTAGTCCCATCAGTAGCCGGACTCCCAGCGGCACAATACAAATGGACACACGCCACACTCCAAGGGTCCCCTTGGAGTCTGCGGCCTCCCCCACTGGCCCCTCAGTGGCCTCCACCCAGATGGAACCCATGGTTCCGGGCTCCACGCAGACGGAGCCCCTGGCTCTCGGCTGTGGGGGCTGCCTGGCATGTTTCCAGGTACATGGGACCGGGAGCATGGCCGCCTTCCCTTGCAGGGTTTGCTCCACTTTGGAGTCTCTGGGGCATCAGACTAAGGAGCTGCAGGCTGCAGTCCAGAGACTGTGCGCCATCAGGGATGGTGAGCAAGAGATATACTCCTGCTGCCAGGTGCTTCACCCCCTGGATGCAGAGGGTAGACCAAGGTCACCTTTTAGGACAAGGGAGGACTCGGGGATCTCCCGTACTGTTCAGCCAGGGGGCTGGACCAAGATGGTCAAGGGCCCCAAGGCCTGCCGCACCACAGTCCCCTCCCCTCTGGGGTTTTGCAACAGGTACAAACCTTGCAGCCCCAGTAGAGCCTGCAGAGATGCCAGCTCCTGCAGGCAAGGGAGGATCACCCACCCCTACTCTCCCTAAGATGAAACGCAGAGTGCTCATCATGGGAGACTGCCCCGCAAGGAGGGAACCTGTTGCCCCGACCCCCTAGCCTGGGAGGTCTGCTACTTCCCGGGGGCCCACATCTGGGACGTTACTGAGAGGATCCCAAAAATCATCCAGCCCTCCAACCACTACCCTATGCTCCTTATCCATGTGGGCACGAATGACACGGCTTGGAGCAATCCCAGCTGGGTCATGAGACTACAAGGCTCTGGGAGTGGGGCTTAGGGGGCGCAGGTGGTCTTTTCGTCACTCCTCCCAGTTGTGGGTCATGGGCTGAGGTGGGAGAGATGGGTCGAGGTAGTCAACCAGAGACTGCAGTGCTGGTGTCATCGTGAAGGCTTCGCCTCCCAAGATCACAGCCCGCTCTTTGGTGAGGGAGGCAGTGGGCTGCTGGGAAGAGACAGCCTCCACCTCACTCTGCTGGGGAGGAGGCTTTTCTCAGCCAGACTTGCTGACCTGCTCAACTGGGCTTTAAACCAAGCCCACTGGGGGATGGGGAGAGTACCGCCACTGCAAGCCCACTGGGCAGTTTTTGTAAACCCAGCAGGTTAAGGCCCTCAAGGGAACCCACCCCTACCCCAGCCCCAGAGCGATCTGTAGGAAAGGCAAGGACCCCCAATAGGCCACTTGTGTGCCTGTACACCAATGCCAGGAGCCTGGGGAACAAACAGGAGGAACTGGTCCTCCTGCTAAACCAAAAGGATTACAATCTCATAGGGATAACGGAGACCTGGTGGGACTCCACCTATGACTGGGCCACAGGTATAGACAGCTATACCTTGTACAGGAGAGATCGTGTGGACAAAAGGGGCAGGGAAGGCCCTTTTTCTCTGTCAAGGAAAGCTATGCATCTCTGCAAGCTGACATTGGCACCCAGGGGGACGATTGGAGACTCTCTGGGTCAAAATCCGTGGCAAACAAGGCACAGGGGACACAGTGGTGGGTGTCTACTACAGACCTCCTAGCCAGGATCAAGAGCTTGACCAGGAATTCACAAGGTAACTAACTGAGGCTGCACACTCCTGATGCATGGTTGGCATGGGAAATTTTAACTACCCTGACATCTCATGGGAAGAGCACTCAGTCATATCCGAACGGTCACAAAGTTTCCTCATGTGCATGGATGAGCACTACCTGACTCAAGAAGTCTATGGACCAACGTGAGGCAAAGTGCTGCTTGACCTGGTACTGGCAACAGCAAATGACTTAACCAGCAACCTAACGATCGTAGGGAAGCTGGGAGACAGCGACCGTGAGCTGATCACCTTCACCATCTGCCGTAAAGCTGGCAAGTCAGACAGCAAACAAGTCCTTGACTTCAGGAAAACTGACTTCAACAAGCTCAGGGGGCCTGTTGGCAAGGGACCTCAACCCAAAGGAAGGTTCAGGAAGAGTGGTTGCTCCTCAAGGGAGTGATCCTAGAAGCTCAAGCAGTGTCTATCCCATCTCAGAGGAAAGGCAGCAAAAGGACACAGCAGCCCCCTTGGCTCTGCAGGGAACTAGTGAACCTCCTGCAACTAAAAAGAAAGGCCTATAAAGGATGGAAGGCTGGATCTACCCCAAAGAAGGAGTACTCTCCACTGGTCTGGACCTGTAGGAAGCGAACCAGGAAAGCCAAGGCTGCAACTAAACTCCAACTGGCTACAGGTATCAAGGACAATAAAAAGTCCTTTTTTAGATGGTGGTGGATGGGTCGGTTTCGACCTGGAAGGGTGTGGGCAGTGGGGTCCCGCAGGGCTCGGTCCTTGGACCAATACTCTTTAATGTCTTCATCAGCGACTTGGACGAGGGAGTGAAGTGTACTCTGTCCAAGTTTGCGGATGACACAAAACTGTGGGGAGAAGTGGACAAGCCGGAGGGCAGGGAACAGCTGCAAGCAGACCTGGATAGGTTGGACAAGTGGGCAGAAAACAACAGAATGCAATTCAACAAGGAGAAATGGAAAGTGCTGCACCTAGGGAGGAAAAATGTCCAGCATACCTACTGCCTAGGAAACGACCTGCTGGGTGGCACGGAAGTGGAAAGGGATCTTGGGAGTCCTAGTGGACTCCAAAATGAACATGAGTCAGCAGTGTGACGAAGCCATCAGAAAAGCTAATGGCACTTTATCGTGCATCAGCAGATGCATGACGAATAGATCCAAAGAGGTGATACTTCCCCTCTATCGGGCGCTGGTCAGACCGCAGTTGGAGTACTGCGTGCAATTCTGGGCGCC